CTCCTCCTATTCCTCCTCCTCCTTCTCCTCCTCCTCCTCCTATTCCTCCTCCTCCGCCTCCTTCTGTGCCGTCGGGGCCTCCATAGTCTTCTTCTGCCCCTCCATAGTCCCCATAATCGCCGCCTCCTCCTCCGCCTCCCCCACCACCAGCAGGGGAACTTCCGTGGTCGTCTCCGCCCTCGGCACCCACGTGAGAGTTGCCAAGTATCCCTCCGACGCAGCAGAAGCACTCGCCCCCGCACTCGTCAGCCACCTCGTCGCAGTTGAAGGAATTCGCGACGTTGGCGGTGACGCAGGCGCGGCCGGGGACGCCGCACCAGGCAGTGGGAGGGCAGTAGCTCCAGCGGTCGTCGTCTCCGGAGACGATCTCCACGCCGGAGACCTCCTCGCCGGCGGCCAGCCCCTCGCCGATGCAGCAGCGGCACCTCGACTCGCTTGCGCATTCGTTGCTCACCTGGTCGCAGTTGAAGACGTTGGCGAGGTTGATGGGGACGCAGCGGCCGCCGAGGGCCCAGCACCAGTCGTCCGTGGTGCAGGACGCCTTCTCGTCTGGCGGCGCCCATCGCCCCTCGCCCTCCATGAGCGTCACTCTCGTGCTTTTGGTGATAAGTGCAGTCTGGAGTTTGTGTTTGCATTCAGAGGGCCTGCGTTGGTTCCGTTGACTATTAGAGTCTTTTGTATGGCTCTTCTGGTCTTGATTCTTCCCCGTGGATTTCTGTCTGCTAACTGATCCGTTAAAAAAAAAAAAAAAAAAAAGAAAGTTTTTGATGGATTTTCCTGCTTTATTACCTACACTTACAAGCCAATAGTATGATTGGAAAATGTATCGAATTGCTTAAACAATGAAGCAAATTATTGCACAATAAAAACAATATCGTGAAAGCCTATTGAGACTGTAACCAATGGTATCCAACGCCTTTATGTGCTATGAAAGCCTTAACTGGTTTATGGAAGGTAATTAAGATCTTAAATACCTACTCTTTGAATATCTGGTACCATGTCGAACCTTAAACAATGAACAGAATAATAATTGCATATTATTACAACGAAATAAACTTCAAACCCAGCCTACTTGGAGCAACGCAGCATGAACACTTATTCTTGCACAATCCTTTATGTTTTGTGTCGAGAGGACCACAGGTCTCCGTGCAGCGCCCACCCTTCTTGAAACAGCGCTTCGTCTGGTCGCATTCTGACGGTGGGAAACAGGGTGAAAATCTGTATGTTTATACATACATACATACATATATACATACATACATACATATATATATATAAATATATATATATATATATATATATATATATATATATATATATATATATATATATATATATATATATATATATATACTCTATTCACTGCAAAAGGATTATATATATTTCAAACCGCATTCGCAAGCATCACAACAGGAAATCGGCATTAGTTTATCTCACTTTCTCCATCTTCGTTGATGCAACAGAAGCAGTCTTTTCCTCCGCACTTTCTCTCCAGCCTCTCGCACTCTTCCAGGCCCTCCGACCTACAGACGCCCTTCCGTCTGGCGCATTTCCATTGTTGTCCACAGACCTTCCCACTCCCGGTTGAATCGCCATCTGCATACTCTCCCCAGGTTTCAGTCGCCCCTTCAACCGCTGGCGTTTTTTGCTCTTCATCTCCATCATTTTCGTAATTTCCTCTTCCTCCTTCTCCTCCTCCTCCTCCTCCATCGCCTCCTACGATGTCAGTGTTTGCATTTCCTTTATACTCACTCGCGACTGCAGGACCATCAACCAACGCGCTCCCGTCGGCGCCTCCGCCGTCACCCACGTGGGAGTTGCCGAGAAGCCCTCCGACGCAGCAGAAGCACTCGCCGCCGCACTCGTCAGTCACTGCGTCACAGTTGAAGGAATTGGCGGCGTTGGCAGACACGCACGCCCGGCCAGCGACGCCGCACCAGACAGTCAGAGGGCAGTACCTCCAGCGGCCGTCACTCCCCGGGACGACCTCCACTCCAGAAACCGCCTCTGCTCCGCCCCCATTTCCGCTGGCTGACAACCCTTCGCCGATGCAGCACCGGCACTTTGAGCTGTTTGAACACGCGCTGTTCACTCGGTCGCAGTTGAAGACGTTGGCGAGGTTGAGCGCGACGCAGCGACCTCCCAGCGAGCGACACCACTCGGTTGCCGGACATGCGTCAGTCGCGCCTTGGGATGGGCCGTTCTCATAGGTCTGCATGATTATGCTGTTCGTGGGAACACCGTGGTACCGCTCGTCGTCGTCCTTGTTCTTGTCCTTTTTCTTTTTCCCTTTGTTGGCCTTGGCTCTGTGTCCATGTCTGTGCGGTTTTCTGTGCGTGTTGTCCCCTTTTCTGCCATTTCCAAAAGCCTCAGTACCTTTTTTTATGTTATTCTCTTTACGATTCCCTTTCCTTTCTTTAATCTCCCCGTTGTTCTTCCTTTGCCTTGGGTATTGGTGTTCTTTGTCCTTCTTGGTCCCCCTTTCTTTATCCATCCTTCTTTTCCCCATCCTTTGATCTTTTCCACCAAGTTTCGTGTTCTTCTCCTTGACCTTTCTTCCCCCAGCACCCACGTGGGAGTTGCCGAGTATCCCTCCGCTGCAACAGAAGCAGGCATCTCCGCACTCGTCACTTATCGCGTCACAATTGAAGGAATTCGCGGCGTTCGCTGAGACGCACACGCGGCCGGGGGCGTCGCACCACGAGGTCGAGGGGCAGTACCTCCAGCGGTCGTCACTCCCCGAGACGACCTCCACCCCGGAGACCGCCTCTCCCCCGCCCCCACTCCCGCTGGCAGCCAAGCCTTTGCCGACGCAGCACCGGCACCTGGAGGCCCTTGAACACGCGCTGCTCACCCGGTCGCAGTTGAAGGCGTTGGCGAGGCTGAGGGCGACGCAGCGACCGCCCAGCATGCGGCAGGACTCGCTCGCGGGACACGAGCCAGCCGCGCCTTCGGTGGGGTCCTTCTCGTTTACTAGTGTGATTAAGCTGTTTAGAGGAACACCAGGATGCTGGTTGTTCTTGTCCTTATTCTTATCCTTGTCCTTTTTCTTTCTATCGTTCTTTACTCTATCTTCGTGTTCTTTGTTCTCCATCCTCCTCCGTTCTCCACCCTGACTACTTTCCCCTTTTCTTTGGCGTCTTCCCCCGGATATCCGCCCGTTCGAAGCCGACCCCTTTTTAAGATTATCTCGCATTTCCTCTTTATTTCTCCTTCGTTGAGATTTTTCCTCTTTTTCAGTCGCTTTGCTTCCAGATCTCCGCTTTCTTGATTTCTTTCGAAATTTTGGATGAAGGTTCGGAAAGGATTCTGCAAACAAGAGGATGCGATGTTTGAATTGGTCAAGTAAGTCAAACTTCTAAGGTAAAAGGTATTTCGATATTGCAAATTCAACTGTAACAAATAATGGCACGTATGTTTAGAGATATGTGCATATATTGATATATAGATAGACAGATAGATTAATACATAAACAGACGGATAGATAGAGACTCGTAGATAGACAGAGAGGCAGAGAGAGAGAGAGAGAGAGAGAGAAATAAATAAACAAACAGTTAGATAGATATTTTGACAGACAGACGTGTGTTTATAAATCAATCCTTTGTATATACACACACACTTCCTTACTCATCTATCTATACATGTGCTTGCGTGTATATAATCAATAAAAACAAAAAAAAAAAAATCCTTACCCGTCCCTTTAAATTTCCTTCCACTCCTGACGCAGCAAACCCTATTCGCGGGGCATGTCAGCTCCTTCGTCAGCAGGTCACAGCGGGAAGTGTCAGCTGCTGCCGGGAGGACGCACAGCCCCGCCCCCTGGCATGGCTCCTCGTCGAGTGGGTCATCGGAAGGGGGGACTGACTTGCCGAGAGTCTTGCAACACTGTGCAACACAAAGAGAAGGGGTTTATGGACGTTTTTGTGCATCGTGTATGTGCTTGTACAAAGATATATATATAGAAGGACACGTGCACATATACATAGATATGCATACTCATACATACACATTCAAGTTTATGCATTCGTACATATACATACATATATACATAAATATACTTGAATATAAATATCTATATACATACACATACACACAAATACAAATGCATACACACAAACACATACATACACACACAAACACACGCACACATGCAAACACCTGCATATACACACACTCACTCAGACGCACACACATTACCAACAAGGAATTCTGCTTTGCTGAAACGTACCTTGCATTTTTTTTTTTTTTTTTTTTTTTTTTTTTTTTTTTTTTTTTACTTTCCTGTCAGATAAGTGCAGAGTCATATTTTCCAAAACGATTTATTTGCTATTTTACGGACCCTTATATTTAAAAGAAAATCGGTTATATAACATAAAGTATATCCTCAAATTCAGTTTACTAAGATATTTTGCCTTTTTATGCTAGGTTTAAAAAGTGAAAAAAAAAATTTACATTGTTCGTAAAAAAAACACGATTTTATGATATAAACATACGTTTCTTTGTAGTTTTGTCCTTCAGTCAGTCTATATTTCCGTCTGTTTGTCTGTCTGTCTATTTGTCTGTCTATCTGTCTGTCTGTCTGTCTTTCTGTCTGCCTGCCTGTCTGTCTGACCATCTATCAGTTTATCTATTATACAAAAAATATATATATTAATGATAATTACCATGGTATAGCACACTTACCCTCATTAACTCATAGATGATTATAGCATATCCAAATTAACGGGGTTCATAATTCCAAGAATGGTTCTCAATTTTGTTCCACTGCTCTCTCTCTCTCTCTCTCTCTCTCTCTCTCTCTCTCTCTCTCTCTCTCTCTCTCTCTCTCTCTCTCTCTCTCTCTCTCTCTCTCTCTCTCTCTCTCTCTCTCTCTCTCTCTCTCTCTCTCTTTCTTTCTTTTTTCTTTTCTTTCTTTTTTCTCTTTTTTTTTTACATTGTCCAGATATGTCGGACGTAAAAGTAAAAAAAACAGTGTCAAAGGCTTCAAAAATATACACCTG